CGCCCCCTGCCACTGGCCCTTCTCTGTCTTCATGTGTGTCACAGGGTTGTGTCCTGCTGGACGCTATATAAAGTACTTGTTATCAAACGCTGTCTTGGTCCTTCTGTGTCTGCACAGAGGAGGGAGCCCACACCCTGGCCGAACCCCGGCCTGGCTATGGGTGGTCAGCAGCTTTTCTGCTCTGGTGGGTGCCAGGGCTGCATAGGCGGCTGTCTTGCTCCCTGCAGCTGGGCTGGACGTTGCCTGCCTCTGCAGGGACATATGGGAAGAGTAGTCCCCGTGGCCCGCTGCCCGCAGGTCCTCCAGGTTGCCCAAAATGGCAGCTGCAAGTTCTGGTTTCCCATAGCCAAGATGGAGCTTGGCAGATAGATAGGGGCACCCATGCCATGCAGACTGAGGTCCTGAGGGTGCTGGGAGCACCTGCAGGCAACGCAGCTGTGGCTGAGCGCCAGGAGGGTGCCAGGACCCAGCTGCGGCTCTTCTGGTGGGATTCATCCCCAGGCTCAGCCAGGCACGGTGGGATTAGAAAGGGGGACAGAACTCCTGCCTGGCACTGCTGTCCTGGTGCCCACCTGCCAACATCACCCAGCGACAGCCAAAGCGGAGGAGTGGGAAGCCGTGAGCACTTGGCACTGAGGGGCCCATGTCAGGGCTGGGCCATGCGGTGCCTGTTTCAGAGGGGCAGCCCTGGTGTGAGGGGGGAAAAGCATGGCGGGATGCAGCCCCACCAGCACCTAGGAAGGGGAAAAAGGAGCGCAGACAGCTTGGGCCAAGCCAGGTGTTCGAGTTGGCAGGGCTTTGGAGGTGGCTGATCGCCTTCTTCACGGACTGGGCCTGGATCTGGTCTGCTCCTGCTGCAGCACGGTGCAGCCTAGCTGATCAGCAGGGGCTGTGCGAGGACTCGGCCCTGCGTACCCAACCTCCTCAGTCCGCAGGCAGGTGGGTGGACAGTGTGTGTTGGGCCCACAGATGTCCTCGAGGCATTTGGCCCAGGGTTAGGCAATGTCACTGCTCTCCCTACCCGTGCTCCTGGCACGGGTGACAGGAGCTGAGGGTTTGCCATAGCCCCGCTGCATGACTGCAATGCTACCTGGCCCCTTGCTCCCATGTACTTACCACAGCCCCTGTGCTCTGGTCTGCAAAGCAGGGAGGGTGTTTCGCGGCAGCTGGCCATTCCCAGCCCAAAGGCTGGCCAAGGGAAATGTCGCAGAGCAAGTGCTCCCAACACCGCTGCACCAGAGCCCATGGAAGTGCTGTTTTGGGCCTTTCTTGGTGCTCAGGAGACCAATGTAGGCAGACTTGCATGGAGGAGCTGCTGTTCTTTTTAGGAAGAGATTGTGGTGGGCACTGCTTTTGCCCATCCTGGCTCTCTGTGAGCTGGCAAAGCCACTCCACCCATGCTCGGTGCCTAAATCAAGCCTCGTTCAGGACGAAGTGCTGCTTGTTCTTTGCTGCATGGTCTAGAGGAGGATGAGCTCACTGTGATCACAGCTGGGTCCGAAATTGCCCTCATGGCAAGGATCACAGCTTAGTCAGGCTGGCAACAACAGGCAGTGATGTCCAAGGTGGTTCAAAAGGCCTTTGCACCCTTGGATATACCTTACTACAGTTGGGATCCTGCAGATTAGGGATAGCCTGCCTGTGCAAGAAGTGGCTCATGCATCTTGCAGCTAAGCTTCGCATACAGAGATACTGAAAAGAGGCGGCTTATTCTTCACACTGGCGAAAGAGCAGCAGCACGCAGCATGCTGCATGATCATTAGGAACAACAATGGCATCCCAGCTATGGGGTCATCTGCTGGGGCAATGTGTGGCCTATGGCAGGACCCAGCTGATGGCTGCAAGGAGACGGGTCCCTTCCCGTGCGGTCCTCGTAGGAGATATGATCAGTTCAGTCTGCTCCACTCCTGTCTAAGCGGAGTGGCCCCAAGCAGGATGCCCAGAGCTTCTACCACGGGGATACACATTAATTGAAGTGCATTTCCTCATTGATGATTGGTGAAAGCAGCATGGAGCAAACTCAAAGCTTGCTGGGAAATGGCTGGCCAGAGGATGGTCACGCTCCATCAAGATCATTACAACCCATCCTGCAACAACACTGGAGATCTGGGAAAAATGTGAAGCATTGAGTTTTAAAGATTTTTAAAGCATCAGAAGAAAAATATTTGGCAGAAACAAAATGCCTTTGATGAGCAAGATGGGGTGCTGCAGGCTCACCCAGTGCCCGGTGCCAAGGCTTGGTCCCTGTCTGGCCATGGATATTGCTGCAGCCCAGATGGGGGCCCCACCAGCCAGTCTTGTGCGGGAGATGCAGGTGCTGCCCTTATCTGGCTCTGAAGTAAACCATGGCTGCCTTCAGGGGAGCTGTGGAAGGCCAGAGAGACTAAAGCATCCACCTTATCTGGCCAAAGTTCTTGTGCGAAGCCAGGAGATGCTTTGCAGTGCCAAAGATGAACCAAAGTCAAGGTCAGGTCATACTCTGGCCCTGCAAATCAAGTCTGGTATTGGTAAATGAACTGATATCCCTGGAAATGAGAGCAGGGGCAGAGAGGAGTCCAGTGGCAGGCTCAGGTCCACATGATGATATGTGGCTCGGGTGCTTAAGGAAAGAGGCCATGGGGTGCCAGGTGCCCAGCACCTGCCTTGGGATGTCACCTCCTCCCCAGCTTGCTGCAGCAAAACCGATGGGGTGGATTTGCTGCGTGCTGGGTGCGAGCCCTTGGATCTGGCTATCCAGGCATTCTGAGCACCATGCTGCGCGGGTGGCCCTGGGGCCCTCTTCCTGCTCTGAGTCACGGGAACCAGCGCTTGCTGTGAGGATGGCTTGATGCAAGCTGGAAAGGAGAGCTCAGTTTTGGTGACATGCTGTCGTGGGCTTTTCGGCTGAGTTAGAGAATTTTTTTTTTCTCTTCCCCAGGATGGGAATCCTGAAGATCTTACTCTGAATTTTGTAATGTGACATTGTGCTATTGCAGAGTCTGTGTTCTGTTGTGCAGTTTGGCCATGTGGCACCCCAAAGCCCAGCACCTGCAGGGCTGCAATAGTTATTACAGTAACTGAGGAGGACAAGAGCTGCCAGTGAGACAGAAACATCCCTTTCTTTACTAGATCAACAAGATCTGCTGGCTCAAGGAAACAAACATTCTCCTGGGTAACATGGGTTGTTTCCATATGTCCACAAGATCCTGGTTGATCTAGAGAAGAGCCTGGACCTGGATCTGCCCCAGAGCTCTTGTTCTTGATGGAAGAGCCAAACTTGCAGGCATGCAAAGCCATGTCTTCTAGGCTTATTTTGTAGGATGGAAAGACAGTACGAACCCAGCCTTTGCTCAAGTAGGACATTTCCTGAACTGCAGTGTTACAGCATGGACCATAACCAAACTCATTCCCACGTGGTGGGCAAGTCAGAGCGTCATCAAAGTATGGATTGGCGGGGACACCTAGAGTTTCCCATGCAACTGCTGCCCAGACCAGGGCTAACTCCAGAGCTGAGTGAGGTTGCTCAGGGGTTGTTCAGGTGAGTGTTGAGTATCTCCAAGGATGGAGATGCCACCACCTCCCTTAGCCCCATCCCAGGACTGCAGCACTCCTGTGAGAAGGAGTGTTCTCGGTGGGTCTGGTGGGAGTTTCCTTCATTGCAACTTGCATTTATTGTCTCTTACCTTTTCTCTGTATGTCTCTGAGGAGGGTCTGCCTCCATCTTCTCTGTAACCCCCTTTAGGAAGACAGCAGTTAGCTTTCCCCTTTACCTTGTCTTCTCCAGGCTGAACAAGCTGCAGTCCCTCTGCCTGTCCATGTGCTCTAACCTCAGCTCTTTGGGTGACCCACCAATTTGGTGCCATCTCTTTTGCTCTGCAGGGCCTGGGAGCAGGCACAGTGCTCAGGGGGGCCTCTGATCCCCCAAACCTTTCATCCCCACCTTTTAGTATGCACACTGCCAGTTACGGTCTGCAGGGCTGCAGACCTCTGGCCACACAGAGCCATGCCTGCCCCTGGGCTCAGGCATCCCCCAATGCCATACCAACTCTGATGCCTCAGAGCCCTGTGCTATGCAACGTCAAGGGTTGGAAAGTAGGGTTTGCTGGGGTATGGCCTCTGTGGTATGGCTATAGAAACTCCCTTGTCTTCTCTCTCTTTGCCCCTTGCAGCAAGCTGACGAGGGAGAGCGGGACAGATTTCCCCATTCCTGTCATCCCTGCGGTGCCGGACTCTGAGACGGAGAAGCTCATCCGGGAGAAGGATGAGGAGGTGAGTGCAGGGCAGGCTGGGGAGGGCAAGGGCAGGGCTCCTCTGAGACCCAGTGGCTCTTGCAAACGCCCCCTGCGGCCAGCGTCCCTGTGCCCTGTCCCCAGCTTCCGCAGTGGCACAGCTGAGAAGGGAAACTCTGTCTGTGGCATCCTGCCAGCAGCTGGTCCTTCAGCCATGAAGTCAAGGTGGGGAGACATTTGAGAGAGATTTGAGACTTTCTCCTAAAACAAGCTTTTGTTGATCCAAATCTGCTTGGGAGGTTTGACTCAGATATGTTTCAGAGGGAGGTGGCACTGCCTGGGGGAAGCTCACAGCGTAGGTCCCCAGGGAGATGCCAGGTCCTGTTGGTTCCCATTGCTCCCATCCCTTCCAGCTCCGACGGATGCAGGAGATGCTCCAGAAGATCCAGAAACAGATGAAGGACTCTCACTAGCCCTCTCCTCCTCCTCCTCCAACCCTGCCCCACTCAGAGACCGGAAATGTTTACATCACGCTACATCCTGTCCAAGCCAAGCTAGGAAACTCGGTACCAACAACACACCTATCACCTTAAGCTGCTGCAGTATCGCCTTATCGAATCTTGCAATGCTTGTCCTCTGGGAATATCAAGGAGACATGGCTTCATTCATCCAGGGTTGCCGGCTGGCATATATCCCAGGCCTCCCCCCACCAACCTGTGTCCTGTCCGGCTGCCATGTCGTCTCGCCCGTGCTGTGTGCCGCTTGCCTCCTGAGCGGTCCCTTCTGTCCCTGCTGCCTTGGTCTTTGCTCTGTTTTACCGTGGATCTCACAGCCCAGCGCTTGCTCTCTGCTCTACCCCTGCCCTGAGACCCCGTGGGCTGCCAGACTGGCAGGATGCACGTTTTGACCTGGCTTTGCGGGGAGGCAGGCAACAGGCCCAACATGTCCCGAAGGCTGGCGTAGCTCCCCAGAGGGGTGCTGGGCAGCTGCTGGTACCCTAGCCATCCTGCTCCCTCTGCCACCCACACAACTGCTCTGTCTCCATCCCACCTTGGGCTGTCCACTCATGCTACAGGGTTTACACAGAGGAGAGCTTGGCCAGTGACTTAAGGAAAGGTAACATGGAGGCCAAAGTGAGAGGACCAGTCCAAGCCCCGAAACCCCACAGCCTGGTGCCATATGCCTGGAGAGCAAAGTTCTTCCCTGGACTGGCCAGGGGCTGTGTCCCCTGCATGGATTCTCTGCAAGATACCCTCGAGTGCAGCAGTGCCTGGGGATCCCCTGGCTCTGGCAGCGCAGGAGCACAGCCCCGGCAGGCTGGTGCACAGCGTCTGCTGCTGGGTGCTCCCGAAACCTCAGCCAGGGCAGCTGCTGCTCTGCACTGTGTCTTGCCCATCTCCTGGCTTCTTCCAGGGGTGGTCCCGACCTCCCTTGGCTGATGTTGGAGCTGGGAGCTGCCTCAGCGCACGATCCCCTCCTGTGGCTTGGAGCACAGCAGCCTGCGTATCCTTCTCACTGCTGGGCTCAACTTGGACAGGGAGGGATACCAGCTCCTGGGCAGGAACCAGAGTGTGGGCAGGGTTCCCTAGGTAGACACTGAGGGCCTAGAGGGGCATCTTAGCCAGGGATAGGATCCAGGACATCAGCCCTTGTCTGCCTTTTTGCCAGCACCAGCGAGAGGAGGGCCTGAAGCTCAGCGGTGCCCAGAGCTATGTCAAGCCCTGGATCCTCAGTAGAATCTATGTCCCCACCAAGCATCTCCCCTTGGAAACACCCCAGCAAACCCTTGCAGAACTCTAGGCTGCACGAGGTTTTGCAGGGAAGCAAATGGCACTGCTCTCGGGAACTGGGACTGGCCATGCAGCAGGGTCCAAATCTCTTGAGCTATGCTGGAGGGGACAGCCCTTCTCAGCAGGGCCTTGGCTGGGCTCTTGGGTGGGTGGACAGACCCTGGTAAAGGCCACCTGCCTGGCAGGGAGCAAGACAGCATCAGCGCTGTCTCAGGGGCTGAGACAGTGACTGTTCATGGGAGGACACTGGGCAAGGACTTCCCTACCCAGAGCAGGGTGCTATGGGTGCAGCCTGGACCTGCACCATCCTTCTCAGGGTGTTTCAGCCTCTGGGGCCACTTGCTTTTCTCTCGTGTTCCTGTGTTACCCAGTGCATGTGGCTTCCCATTGCCCCATCTCCCCCAGTGCTGTGTGCTTTCCGCCGGCAAGCCCTGGCCTGTACCTCGCCATGAGAGGCCACAGGGCGTTGCTGGCACCCACGGCGCCAGGGCGCGGGGGGGCCATGCCGTAGGAGCAAAGGAGCCCAATCCGGCCTCCAAACCTTGGCTTCCCCCAGCTCCCTGCTTGGTAACTGGGAAAGACTAAAGGAGATGGTGAGGCTGTGGGAAGGGCTGAGGTGGCCCCGAAGGGCTGGGAGGCAGGAATTGGGAGCAGTGGGATCACGGGGAGTGAGCTCATGCAGGTAAGCTTTACCTGTCCCTTGGCAGGGCCAGGAGCAGGGAGAAGCCTCCTGGGTAGCTTTGAGCAGCACTCCTCAGGCCCATTGAGAGGTTTGCGTCCCAATAGTCCACATGACTCGGCTTGAAGGTGACTGAGGTTATCCTGAGGATCAGCGTAGATGTCGCAGGGCATTTGGGGAAATGCCCATCATGCGCATGACCTGTGTTCCTGAGTCGGCCACAAGCCTGAGGGGTCCCTTCTCCTGCCGTGTTCACGGCAGGGACCCACCCAGGGTATATTAATGCTTTCAACTTCCTTTTTTATCTTGCTATTTTCTTACAGAAATACCTACCTTTGCATGACAGTCATAAATGCATTTATTAAAGTATATAAAGAGTATAGGTTTATAAATTCTTATAGATCTAGTGGAAATATTTTTAATCCCTCCACAAAAGTTCTCAATAAATATGGCTGACTTGGCTTGTCTGCAATGGCTCTTTCCTTCCGCACAACTGGCCGCACGTACCCCTGGGTGCACGCACCCACGGCGTGCCTGCATCTGCCACCACGCGCCTGCTAGTGAGGGTGGCGGGCAGAAAAGGCTTGAGAAAAGGCTTTCACAACAACAAAAGAGCCAGTGCCCTCTTGCTCCTGGCTGCCCTTTTGCTGGCAAAGTCTCAGCCCAGGCTTGTACCTTCATGAGAGACTGGACCTCCTGTCGCTGCAGTTGTTTGCATGGAAATCAGAAGGGTTTCTTCAGCACCCAGAGGAGCTGGCGTCACTGCGGTGTATGGGACAGGTTTCAGCGGCAGACCTGGGGCTCGTGGACAGGAGGCTGGAGAGCCCTGGCAGCCTGAGCCCCGCGGGACCTGGCTGAGGGGCGGCACTTGCCCTTCATGCACTGCCTTCGAGGCCTGGCCACAGCTCCTGGGCACCCCAGGCCCTGCTGGCTGCAGAGCAGCAACACCATCACTCGGCTCAGCGCTGAGTGCAGAGACCTGCACCTGGACATGGGGATATAATTTATAAGTTCTTTTGATCTGCTGGCTGCACGAGTCCCCACTAGGAGATGCAGAAGGCGCTCAGCATGGCCGAATCTCCCCTGCATGTACAAAATGCCCAAGGGTTACCCCACTACAGGGCTCTGCCAGGAGCTGGCTGGCTTCATGAAGGGCTACCACAGGTGGGCTAGGAGCGTGGCACAGGGATGTACGAAATCCATACCTCTAGCCTCCTTGCAGCGGGCACTCTCTGCCCTGCAGTCTTCCCTCTGCACCCCAATATCCTTCACCCTGCACCCTGCTATCCTCCAATCTGCAGTCTGCTAGCCTCCACCCCACACCCTGATATCCTCCAGCCTGCACCCCAGCATCCTTCCCCTGCACTCTGCTATCTTCCACCCTGCATGCTGGCTTTCTCTGCCTCACATGGCAGGGTAGGGTCGGCCCAGAGGTGCTCTGCCTCCCAGTATCACCTTCCCTACTGGTATTCCCAGTGCTGTCTCTGCTGAGGGAACAGCAGACGTGAAAATTTCCTGAAACACATACAGAGAAGATTGTCAAGGCTGGGTCAAGAGCATCCACCTCCCAAAGGACGGGCAGCAACAGGATCATGGATCTAATGTTGGGAAAATAGCTCAGCTTCCAGAGTGACTGAGAGCGGGAAGAATCGGGGAGAGAAAGGACCAAATCTCCACCCCTGCAGGGTTTTAGAAACAGCTGGGCAAACAGCTGCTGGGCTGATCCAGCCCGGGACAGCGTCAGCCAGCCAGTCACACTCTCTGGAGCACCCCCAGTCCCCCCCTCTCCGAGACGCAGGAGCAAGTAGGCCCCTGACACAGCCACGAGCCCTGCTGTCCACCACACAGGGTGGCAACCAAGCGGCAGTGTTGCTCTGCATAGTGGGGGCTAGTGAGCAAGGTGGTGAGGGGGAGCCAGCTCACAGCCATGTGATAGGCGTTTCGGGGGGGTTAATCTGCACCAGTACAGGCCTGGCACTGGGGACTCAGTGCAGGCTTAGCACACATATGTTGGGGTTGCACCTGGCTCCTTTGCAGCCAGCTCACCGGTGCCAAGGCTGCAATGTGAGTAAGTAAGTGCAGCAGGAGCAGCCATGACCGAGATGTGGATGTGTGGCAGAGAGCTGAGCCTGTCCCCATCTGGAAACATGGCATAGCTTTTGTGGCTGGCCCCCCCCATTTCAAAGCCCTTTCTTTCCCTTCTGTGCACCCTCACAAGTAATCAGGGCCCTGAGGGCACTAATAAGCTTAATTGCCCTGAACAGCCTCACCTCGGATCTCATACTCCCCCCTCCCACCCATGGCCCAGGAGTCCCATTTAAGCTCCAGACCAGGTCTCTAAGCCTTGCCTGAGCTATGTTGTATGTGTGCTTGCTCCAGCACCTGGTCTCTGCTTTTTTTCTAGCCTGTTAATAGGATTTCCTGGACTCACCTTAGCATTACTTTGCCTCTGCCTGAGAGCTGCTGGACTCTTGATGGGAGCTGTTAGGTCCTGCTAGGTGCCATGGGACTGTGCCCTGGCAGGTGAGGGCACTGCCGTTGCAGAGGTCATCCCTGCTTTGTGGAACACCCTGTGTTTGCTGCTGTTTACCCCATGTGTGGGAAACCTAGGGCTGCTGTCATTGGGGGGGCCTGCATTTCCCCCCACCCCAGGCATGCTCCTTCAGCTCCCATTGGGGCACCCTCAGATTCTCTGCACTTCTCTCTGCCCATCCTTGGGTTGTCCCTGGTCCTCTTCCCCTGCACATCTCCAGTCCGTCCAAGCTTGAATATTCCCACCCACATGTGCTCCCCTCTGCAAGTAGTCAGCCATCTTCAGCAGCCCTGCATGGGTCTCCTCCTTGTACACCCTGTTTCTCTTTGTTCCCTTCCTGGTTTCCCATCAGTCAGCTCTGTTCCCCTCTGGTGGGCTTGGTTCCTATCTGTCCTTCTCTGTTCCCCTCTGTGTGCTCAGAACCCTTCTGCTTCCCCCCCAGCCCCCCACCCCCCATGCACCTTCAGGTCAACTCTGTTCCCCTCTGCGCTTGCTCACATCCCTTCCGTTCCACTCCACGGGCCCTCAGGTCTCCTCCATGCACTCTTGCATCTCTTTCATTTGTCTTGTACAACCACATATAACCTCCCTTCCCCTCCATGCACCCTCAGATCCCCTTTGTTCCTCCACATCTGCACCTGGATCCTCTCTCCCCTGAGCTGCTCTGCTTGGTGCCCTGTGAGACTACCTTTGGGTTGCTGTGCTTTCTGTGCCCCTCCTTTTTCTCTGTCCTCTGCTCCCAGTACATCTGGCTGCCCCTAGTCCTGCCCTTGTCCTGATCCTCTGTCCACCCTCTGGTCCCCTTCAGCCATTTCCCTTCTGTCAGAGTTGCAGCAAAGCAAGGAGGATGAGAGATCTGCAAAGACCTTTCTCCTTCTGTCCCCTGGGATCAGGCTGCCAGAAGCTACCCCCGAGAGCCTCCTGCAGTTCTGACTCTGCTCCAAGGCCTTACAAGGAACAGAGCCCAGAAAGGGCCTCTGCTTTTGGATGCTCCCCCTCAGCCAGTCCTGCTGACTCAGGTCTGGATGCTCTCTCCTCAGCTGCTGCAGTTCATTTGGCTTCTGGTTGTCCTCAGCATTGCCAGAGTTGGAACTGGTGCCAGCTGTCTTCTTCCCGAGATAAGATCAAGCTGTTCAGGAGGTCAGTGCTGAGGTTTAGGCAGTCGCTGTCTTCCTTGTTTGTGTTTTTCAGATAACCTTAACCATAGACTGTAAAAATGTTCATTATCAATATTTCCCCAAGTGCACACCAGTGTAAGACCCACATCCTTCCTGTCTAGTACTAGAATTTGGTCAGTACTCTTGAGTGAGAGCTATGTTGTCCTTGCTGCAATTTTACCCTCATTTCCCCACAAGGGCAATGCGATCTCATTTTGCCACAGTCAGTGCTGTCTCTTTACCATGACCAGTTAGAAACCGTGAGCCATAAGCGTCGGGGGGGAGCACAACCTCCCCACCTTCATACAGGGAACAAGGGAGGATCCAGGAGCCAGAGGAAATGTTGGGTAAGTAAGTGCCCCAAAGTGATGAGAGGACAAAGCTAAACCTGTGTTCTGGCCTTGGATGACTGGGACCTTGGTTCCCAGAAGGCCCAGTGTAGCCTCTTCTCCTTCCAATGGGACAAGCTCATCTACCTAGGAGAAGTGAAACCAGAAGCCAGCACCAGCTATGAACGTGCCTGGAAAAAAAGGGCTCACCAGCAAGCAGGGTGGCCAGTCTTGGTGGCCATTGCACTCACGGTGGTCAGGGTAGAGGTGCAGCAGCAGCAGGCTCCAAGCCTTGGATGGTGGAGTGAAGGCAGTGAGAGGTCAGGGTGCTTGCAAGAGAGGGGGTTATCCTCTTGGCTGACCTTCGCTGTCAGGAAAAGCTTTTTCTCTCAGTGTTATTTCCCTCAGCCAGAAGGGCTTTAGCAATGGTAAGGGGTGTCATTGAGGGTCAGCCCTTGCAGCAATCTCCTGTCCCATTCAGCCCGCCCCAGGAGCATCCTGGCACACCATATCCCTTTGCTAAAGGTGCTGGCAGGAGCAAGTGTCTCTGCACTCAAGGTGCAGCCTTGGATGCACTGTGGATGCACAGTGGATGCACTGTGCTGGGAGCTCTGCTCTTATGTTCTTGTGCTTGTGGGGCAAACCAAGGGAGAAATTTTTGCCTGCTTAGAGACATGGCTCAAGTGTCATGTCCAGCCATACCTGTGTGCAGCACCCCTGGGCCAGAAATAACCTGCCTGGTGCACAGAAATGACTGCATTCCTGGTGCTGGGGAGAAAATCCCTAGGTTACAACCCCGCTTTGCAGGGCATGAGCCATTCCTGCGGCTTGAGGCAATCAGGTTTTATAACTCTATGTGGATGGGGAGAGGGAGTATCCATAGTGTATAATTATATTATTTTTCTGTGCTAAATGGGCCAAAGCATTTCAGAGGTGTTCCCCAAACATGCATGGAGGATCAGATAAGGCTAGGCTCTGCGTTTGTCTCTGGTCTCACACTCTGCACCACCTAAGGATCAGGTGTTTCATTTTCCTGGATGCTTGCTGATGTTGGAAAACCAGTATCTTGCCCATTCTTTGACTGGCTTTTGGGGGCCATTTTGGGCTACTCTAGACAGTATCTGCAAAGATTATGTGAGCTTGATTTCAAGAGCTTCCTGCAGAAGGATCAGTAGCATCCATGGATGCCTCAACACTATGTTGTGGAAGGCGTGGAAGGAAGGGCTTCCTGCAGTGCAGATGTCCCTGCCAGCTCCCGTGCTCCAGGCAGCCTGGGTACCCCTCGCTGCAGCGCAGCTCACCAAGAAGAGCTGAATGGGAGTCATGCATGTCGGCAAGCTGCGGTGTTGCTTCTGCTCTGGGGAACGAGATCTGCAGAGGTCCACAACTGAGCTGAAGTAACGCTTTGGTTAATCCATGGCAGAAGAATC